AACGTGTGCTGTTCCCGTGGGTTTCCGCAAGCCTTCCGCAAGCCTTCCGCCGGTGGAGCCGCGCCCATGTCACTTCCGCCGCCTCTCGCAGGTCTTCCACCAAAAGACAAGTTTAACTGCTCGGTCCGTCGATTCCGCCAAAAGAATTGCCTCCCTGTTTCCTTCCGTTTTCGCTCCCTTTGCCTTCCGCGCCCTTCCCTTTTCCTTCCGTTTCCCTCCCTTTTCATCCCGTTTCCCTCCCTTTTCGTTCCGTTTCCCGCCCTTTTCCTCCCGTGTCCTTCCTTCTTCGCTCCGTGACCTTCCATCTTCCATTCCGTTGCCCCACTTTTCGTTCCGTCGCCCTCCCTCTTCCTCCCGTTTCGTTCCCTTTTCGTTTGGTTTCCCTCCCTTTGCCCTTTCGTTGTCCTACCTTTCCTCTTATTGCCCTCCCTCTTCCTCGCGTTTTCCGCCTAAGTATAATGCGTCCCTCCCTTTTCCTTCCGCATCCTTTTCCCTCTCGTCTCCTTACAATTCCCTCTATGCTCCTTCTGTGTCCTTTTTCCCCTCTCGTTTACTTGTGTCTCCTTGCCTTTTCCTTATTTGGCCTTGTCCCTCTTGTTTCCGTCCGTGTTCTTCCCTATTGTTCCGTGTTTTCCTTCCGTGTCTTTGTTTTCATATTTCCCTTACGCTTCCCTCCCTGTCCTTTACATGTCCGCTTCCCGTTCGTTTCCTTCCGTCTGCTTCCCTTCTCCTTCCGTGTCTTTCCCTGTTCCTTCCGTGTGGTTATCCTTATCGTTTCCTTCCGTTTCCCTTCGTTTACCCTCTCGTTCACGTCCGTTTTCCCTTCCGTTCCCTTCCAATGTCCTTCCTTTACCGTCTCGTTTCCTTCCGTTTCCCTCTCGTTTACCTCTCGCTTCCCTTCCGTTTCCCTCCCGTTTACCTCTCGCTTCCTTTCGCTTCACTCCCTATGTCGTCTATATCCCTTCCTTTTCCGTCTCGTTTCCTTACGTTTCCTTCCGCGTCCCTCTCGTTTCCTTCCGTTTCCATCTCGTTTCGTTCCGTTCCCCTCCCTTTCCCCCCTCGTGTCCCTCCCGTTTCCCTCTCGTTTCCAATCCGTTTCCCTCTCGTTTCCTTCCGCTCCCTTGCATTTTCCCTTTCGTTTTCCTCCCGTTTCCCTCCCGTTACCTCCCGTTTCCCTCCCCGTTCCTTTCGTGTCCTTTTCCGTCTCGTTTCCTTCCGTTTCCCTCTCTTTTCGTTTGCTTCCTTTTTCCCCGGCGGGTGAGGAGCAAGGGCAGCCTAAGGAACGACTTAACTCTGGAAATAAATGATTCTGTGGGCGGGGGGAAGCACCAGCCGTAGACTCATTTAACTCTGGAGGTAAGTCGTTTCGAAGTTGGTAGCAGTGGAAGATCTGGAGACGACTGAACTCCAGAGTTCAGTGATGATCACCTTGCTGGTTTGAATGGTTTCCGGGGAGGCTGAGGTGAGGGGGGGGGGAGAGCGGAGCGGAGCAACCGGGCGGTCGAGTCAGGGGCTCGACCACCGTCGGGCCCCGGGCGGCGGGGCCGAGCTCAGACGCGGCGGGCGCCCGCGCGCCGCAGGCCCGCGGGGCCGCGCCAGGCGCCCCCCCCCCGGGGTCTCGCGGGCGGCGGCCCGAGAGACCGCGGGCGCAGGTCGTGCCGACCTCGGCGTTGGTCTCTGACACCGCAGGAGATGTTTCCGCCCCGAGCGATCGGCCGTCTGCGAAGGGTCGGATCGTTCCACAACGACCGATTCTGGGTCGCTGGCGGCGAAATTCACGGATTCCCATGGTCAACGTACCAGAAATGATTTGTTGGAAGGACTCCGGCTTATGAGGATGCACAAGTTATGTTGGCTCGCGGTGTTCAAGTCCCAGGGATGGCTTTCTGGCACGATTCGGGATCGTCAAGACGCAACAATCAGATCGATCCGTGGCGTTGGGATCCCGAGAACAATGTTTTGACGTGCTTCAGGATATTCAAACAGTTGTCTTCCGACGAGGCAGTGCCTTCAGTAAAAATGAACCGTTGTAGGGTCCTATGAAGAGGGAGCTTCGAGGGAGGGTTTACTCCAACATCGTTGATACCTCTTGGGTTTACACTGGTCCTCCTCCTCCTCCTCCTCCTCCTCCTCCTTCCTCTCCTCATCCTCCTCCTCCTCCCTCCTCCGCTCCCCTCCTCCTCTTTCTCCTCCTCCTCCGCCTCCTCCCCTCCTCCCCTCCTCCTCTCCTCCTCCTCCTCCTTCCCTCCTCCTCCTCCTCCTCCTCCTCTCCTCCTCCTCCTCCTCCTCCTCCTCTCCTCCTCTCCTCTGCACCGCCTCCGCCTCCGCGCTCCTCCTCCACCTGCGCCTCTCCACTCCTGCTCCTCCTCCTCCCTCCTCCTCCTCCTCCTCCCTCCTCTCCTCCTCCTCCTCCTCCTCCTCCTCCTCCTCCTCCTCCTGCTCCCCCTCCTCCCATCCTTGCCTACGTCCTCCGCACGTCTATTTCGGCACACCCCTCACGCGCTGGTGTTTGAACGATTTCCGCGTTCTCGCCTGTTCGGAAACCCCCGACAGCCAAAGATGGCCCCAGAGGCCTCTAAGGTAGCCCACGGCCCAGGATGCCCCCAGGAGGCCCCAAGACAGGCCAAGTGAGACCCAAGACAGGCCAAGAAACCTCCAAGGCGGCCGTCCCTAAAGCGCCCCCAGAGGACCCCAAGACGGCCCAGGGAGGTCCGTAAGACTGCCCCCGAAGGCAGGCAGGCCAAGAGCGCCCAAAGACGGCCCAAACGGCCCGCAGATGTTCCCAGGAGGTCCCCAAGAGGGCCCTAGGCAGCCCCTACGAGGCCCCCTGGAGGCATCAAGGGGCTCCCTGCTGCTTCCTCACCTTCTCCTCTCCCCGTTCCTCCCCCAAGTGTTCTGCCAAGGGCTTCCGCAATAGTACAGTTGTTTGCCAGGACCTCCGCCCAGTGGTTGGCGACATAGACGCTTCCAAAATGTAGGGGGCAGCGCTGGTTCGCCGCGGGCGTCTTCGATACAATTTAGCACAAACCCGATCAGCTCCTTGGGCTCGGGTGGTTTAAAAAAGTTAGTTGTTCCATCTTCCGTCTTCCCCCTGGGGAAGAGGTTTACCTCTCCCTCTGCCCCCTCTCCTTGGGTCTGGGCGGGCCTGATCGCGAAGCGTTAGAGCGTTCAAGATAGTCCAAGATGGCGCCAAAGATCGCAGAACATAGCCCAAGATGGTTCAAAGTAGCGTCCACCATGCCTCCAAGAAGCGCCATGGCCGTCCCGAGACGGCTCCAGGTGGCCACGGAGTCTCCCAAGAACCCTTCCCCTGAGAGGCCCAAACCCTTCTAGAAGCTAAGGAAAATCACTGTGTGTTGCTTTCTCTCATTTGAAATACGGATGGGGTCTTGAGGCCTCAAGATGGCTCCGAGATATCCCCAGAGAGCCCCAAGAGAAGCCCAAGGCGGTCTCAAGAGCGCCCAAGAGCGCCTCGGGAGCGCCTCAAGAGGGCCCCGGGAGAGGATTATAAGGGCTCCGATGTCTGCCATCGATGGCCTCCAAGAGATGGCCCCAACGGGCCCCCAAAGCCCCCTAAGAGGGCCCTGAGAGAGCCCCAAGAGGGCCCTCTGGGGGCCCAAAAGGCATCCACTATGGCTCCGGGATGGCTCCAAGGCTCCAAGAGGCCCCTCGAGGTTTCAAATTCCACAATTGGTGGCCGCCTTGCTTCACCATATGCTTACGTGAGCGTCTCCTCTCCCTAGGCAGCATTTCTGGATGTGCTGGAGGGCGAATGCAAAGCGTCAAGAGTTGAGGATGAAATGCGAGGGCAACAAAAACGCAGTCATAACGCGGAAGTCGTGAGGCCAAGGCGAGTCGAATCAACACGACGCCGAAGCCGTGGCTCAATGTAAACCACCATACTGTGTGCTGCGAGGGTTTCGCCCATCGATTACGAAAGGGAAATTGCTGAGACGACTAGCGTAGCGAACATCCACGGCAATTCCCTGCTGGTTTTAACCAAACCAGGCGCCACCATGTGCGCACTAAAATCCCGTAGCTGCTTTCACCTGTCAATGAGCGGTTCGACCCGCGCGCTCTCTGCATGCGCACCTGAAGATCCCACGGGGCCAACCGATCCAACCATCAACTACGACGCGCTCCCAGCTGTGCATTTCGCCGCCACTGGCTATCGCCCACCACGACTGCCCTTATCGAGTGGCCGGGATGAAATTTACCTCGGAATCTAGTCTCGCTGCGAAAGCGTCCGCTCCCCTTTCGCCCGCCGAGTGCGGACACGTGGGCGGCATACGTAAACAAACCCTGAGCACAGGTAGGAGGATGATAACGAGGGAGAGGAGGAGCAGGAGGAGATACAGGAGACGTAAGAGCAGGGCAGGAGCAGGGCAACAGCACTAATACCCACCCAGCCACCACACACTACACCCAGCCTCGCTTGATCTCACTCTCCCCCAATCATCGTCTTTGTCCCTCCCCCCACACACATACACGTACACATCCTGTAAATGTGTACACATACATAGATGCATGCATGCATGAATGCATGCATGCATGAATACATACTTAGATACATGAATACACACATACATACGTACGCAAAGACAGACAGACAGACAGACAGACAGACAGACGGAGCAGACAGACAGACAGACAGACAGACTAACATACATACATACATATATGTATATACTATGTACATGTATACACACATATGTATAAAGATCCTTCTCTAAGCCTCCCGCGCTTAGGGGGAAAACTAAATCAACAGAACAGGTCGGCGCTTCATGTGAATGTCTTGGGTCAGCACGGGATCGCCATCCCAACACCGTTCTCCAGCACGCGGAGCGCGCGCCAGAGGCGGTGCCAGAGGCGTCGCCAGGGGTTGGGATGGCAGGGCCCAGCGGCGACGATCCAAGATATCTAGAAATGTGTTTGCTTCTTGTTCTCCGATGTTTACCCGACTGGTGAGAGCCCTCGCGCGCGGGATGGGGGCGGCGGGCAATATCAACCAGCATCACGGCAACGACGACGAGGAAGAGCAGCGACGCCTTTCCGTGGTCAGGCGAGATGGAGAAGGCGTGGCGCTCGTGGGAAGGCACTGGGAGGACGAAAGGTATTCCTACGGGAGGTGAAAGTGCAAAACCAACAGGAAACCATGACATACCAAAGCGCTGGAGACTGAATGCCCAGGCTCGCAGAGAACAACGGGATGGCGATCGCTTAGGACGAGGGGAAGAGCGGAAGAGGGAGCAGGGAAGGAGAAGAGAGGAGGGAGCAGCGGGCAGCGGCAAGAATTGAAGCGGGAGCAGAAGCGGGGCGAAGGGAAAACACCAAAAAGCATCTGGCGCGGGCGGCTGTAATCGCGAGCCTGGAGACGCACGGGCCAGAAGCATGTAGTTCGAATGATAGTGCGTCGAATGAGGGTGCCGTTGAAGGGGCGGTTTGTGTGTCGTCCTCAAGGTTGCTGCCACCACTGACATTACCAGCGTCGTGGCTGCCAATACTCTGGCTGCTGCGTACGCTACGGCCGCGGTGGTGGCTCCTGCTGCTACGGTCGCTGCGACCCCTGTGGTCGCCGCGATCGCCTCCCCTCGTCGTCTCGGATGACCTCTCGCCGTTGCTCTCAAACAAATCTTAGCTCAGCACTGGGTGTCCACTCCGTCTACTAGGGAGGGTGTGGCGTCGGAAGTTCACAGCACAATACCACACTGACAGCAACAGCCGTGCGTCGCCTGTCAACCTGTCAGCCTTTGTGCTACCAGCTCCCACGGTGTGGGACCAGCAGGGAAGGGGGGGGGGGCAGGGCGAAAAGGGGGCCAAGTGGGGTATGGGTCTGGAACAGCCTCAACGCCTATGGATGGGGATGCTTCGTATCTCCCGCGTCTCCTCCTTTTCGTCATCCCCATCATCTCGCATAACCCTCCCCCTTCTCCTGCTCATCCTCTTCCTCCTCAAGCGTCCTCGGCTCAGGATACTGGCACGAGGGGCGGCCGAGCATGACCTAGGTCCTCGCGGCTGAAGGGCCCCGAGGTAGGTCTGCTGCTCGGGATGCTCTAGAGCAGCGTAACGGGTGGGGGGTCTGCATGTCTGGCAGGAATCGGTCAGACGCCGAGAAACAAGACGGTCGAAGGACCTCGTCGGCGCTACCTTCCGCGACCAGAAAGAAGAGTTGCGGCGGACGGCGCACACTGTCGTGAACCAGTACATCCGCCAGGAATAGCAAGCAGCAAAGGAAAGCAGTGCCAGCGAGCGGGCAAAGAAAAGCGGGTGGGCATCAATCAGGAGGAGATCAAGAAAGAGGACGACAAGATCAGGGAACGCTTAGCTTCCCTCCGATCCCACAACGGCCGCTCTCCAGCCAGTGCCAAACGCAGGTCCGAGATCTTGGCAGACGCGCCCTCGAGCAGCGAGGCGAACAGGACCCCGTCGACGAGCGGGAGTCCGACGCCGAGCTGCCTCAACTGGGACAACGACCCCGCGCTCAGCGCACACCCAGCCACTCCATCCCATCCCCAGCCAGTGCAACCAGCGGCCGCCACGGACCTCAAGACAAAGCCCCACGAGGAGCAGGCACGACCACGCGGCCCAGCGGAGCCGAAGAGACCCAGCGTCATCCTCCTCCTCCTCCTCCTCCTCCTCCTCCTCCTCCTCCTCCTCCTCCTCCTCCTCTTCCACCTCCTCCTCCTCCTCCTCCTGCTCCTCCCGCTCCTCTCGTCCACCTCCCTCAGCTCTCCTTCCTCCCCCTCCATCCATTCCCTCTCACCCCCTTCTCCTCCCGCCTTTCTGTTCCGCCTCCTCCCCCGCTTCCTCCTCCGCCTCGTCCGCCCCCCTCCTTCCCCCTCCCTCCACCTTCTCGTGCTCCTCCTGATTCCTGATTCCTGATGGCGGCTGGAAAAAAAAATGTTCGTAGCCCCCCCCAGGGCTGGTCGGCCCCAGGGGGGGTGATGAAACCATGGACACGTGATCCATGGAGCACAGCTCCAGGTCACCGATGCGGTGTTGTAGAAGCTGACCGACATGATAGAAAGTGATGGCATCGGCAGCATGGTGCGAGCAGCGCTGCGCGCTGCGGCCACCCTGGCCCTAGCCAGGAGGACCTGCCGTGAGCCTCCGGTTGCCCCCCCGTCCCCAAAATCAACCTCAACCCACACGCCCACGATGGGTAGCTGCAACGTTGTGGCGCGCGGGCAAGCATTGAGGGCAGACGTGGCTGAGGCTGGGTGAGAACGGCGTGGATCGAGCACCAACCCCCGCTTGCCATGGTAGCTGCTAGGCTGCAGGGCGCATGCCGTACGGAGGGCAGGGTGGCCAAGGCTGGGAAGGGCAGCGTAGAGGCAACGAAAGAGGGCGAGATGCTGCGCTCACGTCCAACCGGCATCTGCCCAGTCGAGGCGAAAACGGCGGAACACGGCTGAAACAGTAAAGGACGTAGGCTGAAAATGACTAGAGGGCAAGTGTTGGCACGCAGCAGCAACTGCGGCGGCGGCAGCCCGTGTCCACACTCGCCGAGGTGAAGGCACAGAGGCCTCTCCCTCCGCTCATAGGACCACCCCGCAAACACCCCCCAGGTCAATGACGGGATCCCTCACCTGCAAGCTGGCGTAGGGTTCCCAGAGCATTGACCTCGGGGCCGCCTGAGGGGTTTCCACCGAGCCAGAAGGAGGTTTGTGCCTTCCTGGCGGCGATGGAA